GATTCTATGAAATAATTCCACTGTAAACCACCTGCCGAAAATGCACTACCAGCATAAAAGCTGAGATCACAATTGTGTTCCTGCAAGAGAACTGAACATCTACGAGCTCAAAGACACCTCTGACACTGGAGGTTAATATGGCATTTCTAGCCTGATAATCTGCGGCTTTACACTACACCAAAGTTGTTGGTTTTGTTGCGTTCACAAGGGAGCTTTGTGAAGAAAATGTTGCAATGAAACAAAACTTTGCCAGTCTAGGCAATTTCTTTAAATAAAGATGGTAATAATACAGTAAGCTTATATTCACTATTTTATTTTAAAGATCATTCTTAACTGATGACTCAGTCTACTTCTTTCCCTGGCTAATCCTTCTCTTACTGAATGCCACACTGGAGTGAGATAATTGGCCAGTGTTTGAAATAACCCAGTTTTGCACATATAATTCAGAGATCACTGAATGGTCAGAAAGGTATTTCAGAACTGCTTTATTATTCCATTTGTGGAAGCATGAAATAATAGTGCATAAGCTGTTTTTCCATCAAAATATTTTCCTCCTGCTTCACTACACAGGCTACCTTTGCAGAAGCAGTCTGCCATTTCTTAAGGTCTACCTGTAAGAAGTATGGTTAGCCACAATGCAGTGGATAGAAACCATTCCAAAACTTATTTCTGTCTTTATTCCAGGGAACCAATAATGCTTCACTGCTTCAAAGCAAGAGCAGATTCCTTCTTTTATCTATATCTGGGAACAGATGTCAATGCAATCAAGATGCAGAACTTCTTTCAGATCCATGTCTTCCTTGCCCTTTGTTTCAACTTACAGTGCCAGTCATTCTCCTGTTCACGTGCAACTCACAACAGCTCACAAGAGTGCTGTGTGTGAGGAAGATTCCCCTTCCTTACTTCTTAAATAGCTATAAAATTCAGAAAAGATGTTTGACATTAGTCTTTTAAGATTGATAGGTATGTTCCAGTGTCTGAAACACATAAAATAACAGTATGTTCCCCCAAAATCTGGAAGTCAGTTTAAATCTAAACATTTAACCCCTCTTGCATAAATGAAAGCTATTAAAACACATGTTACTTGCCAGCACGGCTTCACCAAGGGCAAATCGTGCCTGACCAATCTGGTGGCCTTCTATGATGAAGTGACTGCAGCAGTCAACAAGGGATGAGCAACCAATGACATATACCTGGACTTCTTAAGGTCTTTGATGTGGTCCAACACTGATTGATGAGTGAGATCTGGATTTCAAGGGTGAACTATTTGGTGGATAAAGAATTGGCTGGATGGCTGCAGCCAGAGAGTTGCAATAAACAGCTCTATGTCCAGGTGGAGGCCGGTGACAAGTGGTGTCCCACAGGGGTCCGTCATGGGACCAGTGGGTCCATTTATATCCCAGAGGGATATAAATGAGGATATGTGGAGGATAGAGGATATTGGTTTTTTGGCTGGAGCACTTCAGAGGGAGAAGATGATGCTTTGCTATTCCCAGTCTATTCAGCATTTAAACTTTTCTTTCTTGGGTGAAATTTTATCTGCTGTGCCTTCTGCCTGGCAAGGGGAGGGACACAAATAATGGAACCAGTCTGCCAGCTTGGATGACTTTCTAAAAAGGAAAGGATTTGCCCTCAGTCTTTTTCTCTACCATCATGCATGTTTATCTATTATCTATCCCTAGTGATCTTGTTGAAACAGAGACAAAGAGGCACCTGGGAACGCTTAATGCAGAAGACGGGTCACATGGAGCAAGAGGAGAAGGTAAACTGTTGGCACAACCTGGGAGGGGGGAAAGGGGCAGAATTTGGCAGAGAGAGATATTGTGCAGTAAGAAAGCCTCCAGTATTTCCAGCTACCAGCAGAACTGTTGGCAAAACTCATGTCAAAGAGTCCTTAAATTACTATCTACATTTTGCTTCCATTCAATCTGATCCAGCTGCAGCTGGGTAAGCCCTGCAGTGTACAAAGGGCAGAAACATTACTAAAACTTGCAGTGTGTAAGTCAGAGAGGTACTACCTGTTTAAAGAGGGCAGAGAATAAAGCAAGGCTCATATTGACACCTGATAGAAGAAAGAAAGCATTTGTTTGTTACTCCATTTTGCTATTAGTTGGCTAGATTCACTCTGTTTGCACATTTGGATAAATTCTCAAATAAGCTGCTTTTCTTCCTTAAGTGCTGCCATGCATAGCTTTATTAACTCCGGCTTGGATTTCTTCATAGCACTCTACATCCTACATCCATTGTGAAGTGAAGCTGATGCAATGCAACTGGTAAATAATATATTAATACCAACACATCGACTTGTGTGGGCTGCTGCTAGATTGCACTGAAAGGGTTCATTTTTATATACGGAGTTTTTAGCAACCTCAGCTCCCTTTGAGACTGTTTCAGCTACTTCTATTCTATTAGCAACCAGCAAAGGTATCTGACTTTAAGAAAAATCTTTAAACAGGGAATTTTCCATGTAGAATCTCTTTTAAATGTTTTTTTTTGTTTTCTTCTGTTCCTCTGCGAAACTGTATGAAGTTAAAAGGAACCCTTTAGTCTTCAAAACCTTCACAGAAGGGGGAGAACAAGAACACATGCCAGGTACGGGGAAGAACATCATTATGATTCATTCCTTGGTTGGATAATTCTGTGTGATGATGGAGTTGTGATGAAATTTACGTATTAATTATTTAAGACTGTTTAAAATATAGGTCATGGCTTCTAAACGTCGGAGCAAAATACTCTTCATTAATCTATGCGGAACAAAATAAAGACCGCTAGAGTCATCAGCTGTGCAGTCTGTCCTCAAGCCTAACTTCTACCTCGCCTCTGACTTCCGCTGAGTCACCTCAGGGCTGAAAATTGCAGAGCTGCCTTCGGATGCCACATTCCCATTCACCTTGATAAGACTTGGGTGTCCAAGGCCTTTGGGATGCCTGAGGAAATTCTGACATCAGTTTGTGACTCACATCATGGCACCCAGCCACCCTCCAGGGTCCGCAGCTGCCTCTACTGCCTGCCTCACACACAGCTCCTGTTGCTCCTCCACTGCCGTCTCCTAGCCCTCCTCAATCCTACGATCACATCTGCTCCACAACTGTGGTTACCTCTTTCCCAAGTCTCCTTTTCTGCATTTCTTAACACCCAGATTCATGCACAATTCAGAACAGCTCTAAAAGTGGTGTCGAGCTCTGTTCTCTGGCAGGCAGGACAAGCCCTGATTCTACTGAATCGTGTAGGAGTTTCTGGTTTAATTCACTGGCTTTAGTGTCAGCTAGAGCAGAATTAGGCCATTTGATACTAAATTCTTAGGATGTGCCTGAATAAAAATAGTACAAATGCTGTGGAATTCAAGCTCTTCATCCATAATATATTCATCTCGAAGTGCACAGCTGCCATGCATATATTTATGTAACTGCTATCCGTAGAAATATTTAAGCATTCAGTTCAACTCTAAAAAAAAATATTTAGAAAAGTTAAGGATGGCTAAGCGGTGAGAGCAAGAAAGGGGAGATAGCCATTAGATAGGTGTGGCTTCAAAAGCAGGAAACTTTTTCATCTGAATCACTGAAGAAATGTACGGAGAGGGACAAGGATGATCAGAGATACGGAATAGGGGGAAGAAATAAGGAAAGCACATCTTTTTAGCCTACAATTAGACATTTTAAGGTGGCAATGATAAGCATCTCTGTAAGAAATGTTATTCACTTTTCACAGTAAATATACTTGAGGCAATCAATAAAACCCTCAAACACCAGGCTTAAACTAAAGACAACGTGATTAAGTTAGAGACCCCATTTCCAGAAGACGTTTCTGAGACCAATATAGTAAACAGGTTAAAAAAAAAAAAAAAAAAAGTTGGATAAATTTATGAACAATTGATGCACCAGAAGCTTTGAAACATGGCATAATCCACAGCCCAAAAAGATCTGACGCACCAGAAGCCAGATGAGGACCAGAAAGGAAGGCAGCAGCAATCTCTCTGAAACCCCTCTCCTGTGTTCGCCTTCACCATCAGCTACCAAGACCTCAGGTCTCTCCCATCACAGCAGTTGTCACATGCTTGCTCTACCCAGTTCCCAGACTCCAAAGATAAAAAATAATGCAAATAACTTGTTCTACATATGCATTAAGTGAGTACCAAAGGCTGCAGGAACATCTGTGCCTCTCCAATTTGCCCAGCTGCCTGACAGCCATGAAGAACCTCATTACACCTTCATCCACTTTTTCCAGATTTCTGTTTCCTTCCTCTCCAAACTCATCTGTGACCAAGTCTTTAGTGTCACATGGTGTTACAACACAAGCACAGCCGTATTAATCAGCAATATTTTTATTCCGTTGCTTCTCTGGCAGGCTCCTGGCAGTATAGCAACAAACATTCCAGTAATAAATGAGCTTTTAAGTGCAACAGACTTTACTATTCCACTGCTGGCATGTGGTCTCTGATCAAACCTTAACTTATACAACCCCTGTATAGGCAGCAGACCAAGTAGCAATAACACCAACAACACTAATAAACAATATAAGGCATTGATCTGACCTCAGTTTAAGAACACAGGTCAACTCTCTCCCTAACCATACCAAAATCTATTACTTGAGAGCCTCTTTTCCGAAGCTATACCAATACACCGCTGAATTACAGTGCTGTAGGTAACTAGGAGTGCGATGCCCATTAAATCTCCATAAACAATTAACTTTCGCAGCTGAGCTCTACAACAAAACACCCTGCCTGCTGCCATGGGATGCTGCTTCGCTTCATGTAGGTCATTGGTGAGGTAATAGACAGTTCTAACCAGCAACAGCAAAAACGCAGCAGAATCCCAGCGCAACACATCCTGTGATAGGTCTTAATAAAAATATAGATCAAGTTTATAGCACACAAAATGAAAAAAAAAAAGCAATTACCTCACTTTAATGTATTTTAAATGTTTTACAGTACAACGAATTTTACTGCTAAAAATACCCCAACAAAACATACATTCAATGTAAAAAAAATGCCTTAAACTTACCTCTTAGTTTACACTGATTTAATATATTTTTTCTTCTACTTTTCAACTTTCCTTGCATCTTGGGAATATAGTGGTTTTCTCCACCCGCTTCCTTCCTCTCACCTCCTCCCCCTCCAATCTGGCCTCCTTTCCTTCCTTGGAGGTTTTTAAGCTTTAATTTGAGAGTGTAAAGCTGAAAAATATTTGATACAATTTTTTTTTTTAATTAGAGAATTGAGCTCCTCACCATGGTTGAAGCATTTCTGGGAACAGCACCAAAAAGCTTGCAGCTACTGCACTGAGTAGCCACAGCATCTCTTAAAATCATCACTCATTTATTTTTCCCAGACAACTAATGTTTCAGCATTTTACTTACAGACATGACTGCAGTTTAGGAGACTGAGGCTAGAAATGAGTCTCTTTGTTCAGTTTTGGAACATGAAAACCAGATTCCCAAATTCCAGCGTGGGCCCATCTCCAGCTGGAACGGGAGCAAGACTCACCAAGTGGGATTTGACAATGTATGAGCTGAGACTTTGAGTTAGTCACATTTTCAATGAGCTCAAAAGGGTATTTATGATTACATGCTCTAACTGGAGGAGGTGGTTGTCAGTCTGCCTGCAGTGTGCATGTCACCGCAACAGGGAAGGGGAAGTATTTTAGAGCTTGTGTGGGATTGGGCTTGCTGAATGGAGCACTTGGAAAGTCTCCTGTAATTTGGATATTGTTGGGGAAAAAAAAAAAAAAAAAGGTTAGATATAACGAGCTAGGGCCTCTGCAATGCACATTCACACCAAGGGGTGCTGAAGACACTCTGCATTTCCAGGAGGTAGTGAGCAGCAGCCTACAAGCCTACAACCTATTTTAGGCTTACACTTACTGACGCTAGGTTGTGCTTTACAGCTTCAATGTATTCATTTTTTAATTCTTCATTTAATCTGGTAAGAGGTTGTTTTTGCCCAATAAAGAACTTTTTCCTGAAATTATATCAAATTCTTAGCAATGCTGAATAAATCATATTTTGCCTAAATGCTTATGGATTTTTCACTGATGCAGAATGTTTTATTCTTCCTCTCCATTCCTTGCTTACTTGAAGCCATTACATTTCAGTCTTTCTTCCTAAATCAGTCTCCTAAACCACTGATTTTTATTTTCTGTTGCTTGAACAACAGCAAATTGCTCCTGTTGGTGTCAAATTCAGCAATTACTTGTCTGCTCTTTGACAGTATCTCCACATTCTTCCAAAGACAGTATTGCCCTTTGAGGTATTACACTGATCATAGAGTGGTCCTTTGTCAACCAGAAAAAAAAATGTTTTAGCATATTTTAGTGTGTATGTTTCTCTATACTTAATATATATTAGCCATATAAAATCAGTTCTGAACTAATTTATCCCAGACACATTAGCTTCTTTCTCTTCCTTCTCAATCTGAATATGATACACTGATAACCCCTCTCGCTCATGTTTCTAATCTCTAAGTATCTTCTATTTTCTGTTTCCTGCTGTTTACATCATCTGCTGACTTCATTAACATGCTGTTCACTTGCTTTCTTTAATACTATTAATGAATCTGTTAAATAAAGTTGAAACAGAGACCAGTTGTGATGGTACTGCTTTGGACAATTGGGATGTGTCATCATCCAGGTTTTCTGAAACAAGGCCTACAAGCCCATTTCTCAAAATCATTCCTTGTAATTGCTTTCAATAAGGTAGTGTTTATAGAATTGACTGTTGTTTAATCGTGGCATTACCAAAAAGCTGTTTGGAAAACCTTAGCATGGAAAAGCTGACTGTTTATGTAAGTGCTCTTGGTTAAACCAAGCCTACAGCAAAGTTTGAATTGGGTTAAGAATGGGATTTAAACTGCTGTTTGTTTCAGTTCCCCTTTCTACTTAATCTCTTCACACTCACTGTTTCATACCATAGTTCACCCTTACAGATTTGAAATATTTCAATTAACTCCATGCAATTGATAAACAATTTAACTTGCTTAAAAGCTGTACAGAAGGATACATGCTAACAAACAATATTAAATGAAGGTAATATTATTTTTTCAATAGACACAGAATATATATGAATGTACAACAGACACAAACATTTCCAAGTACATTTCCAGCGTAACTAAGGGAAGCATGAGAGGTTTCTCTCTGTTAAACAGTAAAAACAGATAAACACAGAGAAGGAAAAGACTGATTTTACCTAAGAGTCACCAGTGGCCTGCAAACAGACTAACTGGGAATAAATTAGGCTAGAAATGAGAAGGTATATAACAACCATCAGGAACGTGAGGCTCCAGATAAGTCTTCCAATACACGTAGTCAAGGCAACGAAACTAATGTCTTTAATACAAAGCTGGATTGGTTCAGGGAAGGAATTGTCGAGTGGTTGCTCGAAACAGCAGCATTCCCAGCCCTGATCTCACACATGCCTGTCCCTGTCTTCCCATCAGCTCCACAAGCACAGCAGTAAATAACAACAAATCTCGAAACCAAACTTGCTCTGAAATTACTGATTGTTCACAAGTACCTTGTCTTCATACTGAAAGTCTGAAATTAATACTGCACATCTTTAATGCACCTAAATTGCTTGAAATCTAAAATAGGACAATAAAATTGTTATTCTTCATACTAGGTAGAAGGTAGCAGCTAAAATTTTAAGTGCCAGAATTCTGGCACCTCAAATGTTAATTATCAGTGACTATACAAAGGAAAAAGCTTCACAAGCAAGGGCACTCCTGAAGACAATGGACCTTTGTATTGGCCAAGGTCTTTGCTGAAAACCTCAAGTTCCCTTCTCCTGCCTGTCTCAAAGCAGCTGTGTTGAGGTCTGCTGCCTCCCCAGGTGTATCAACACACACCTGGGAAATAGGAAACAATCCAGACTACAAGAACAGACCCTTGCTGTTTGCTCTCTATTCAGCCCCAGAAAGCATGGAAGTCTCTCATGGGTCAGAAAAGATGGAAAATATTTGAATCCAGGTCCCTGAATCTATTTTGGATGTGTTGGAGTGTCAGAGCTGATAGCAGAAGGACAACTGGGCATTTTTGTTCTTGAGACGTTTTGGGTATATAGGTCATTTCATCCTGAGGTTTTCATTTCAGAAAAAAAAATAAAAATCAGCAGATCCCTTTTTATACATTGAGCACTGGTTTCAATTAAAGAGTATCAAAAGGTTTGCTCATGGATATGTATGAGATTTCATGGACTGAAGAGTTCTTGGTCCTGCTTAGAGCATTCTCCTCTCAGTTTTTAAATCTTATTGGTGGGAGAGGGGCCATCAGTGAAAGGACCTATTTAACCTTTATAGTGTATTATTTACACAGACTACTCAAAGAAAACTAACAGGGCTGTTACTCTAGGTATGATCTCTTTATATGGTTGAATAGTTCTTAGCCTCTTGAAAATACACGATTCATTGTTTTCGATCAGCCGATGATCATAATGATACAAAGAAAAATCACAGTAATTATAGAGCAGTCTTCATAAGAGCTATATTTAATAAGCTATGTTCATCTCTGTTCCAACTCCACTAGCTTCTGTCAAAAGCAAGGATATATTTAACTGTTATGTGCTAGCTTGCATAGCTACAATAATTATTCTTGAGAAAGCAGTAATGCTCTTTGGTCCATTTAGAGGTTAAACCTTGCTCTCTGTGTATGTTAACAAAAATACTGAATAGTTAAAATGAATCAAGAATGCAATAAATGTTCACAGAGTTCAAATAAACCATTCTTTCTGAAATGTCATATAAAAAAGGCTAGATTTTATTTTTCGCTTTTCAGTTTGGCAACAAAAAGGGTAACAAAAGGTAAGCACTTACATATATGCGTATGCATGTACACATACATGTATCTATGTGTGTATACATTCTAGGCTGCTTGTGCCTGTAGCCCAGAAAGCCAAACATATCCTGGGCTGAATCAAAAGCAGCATGGCCAGCAGGTCAAGGGGGGAGATCGTCCCCCTCTACCCTGCGTACCCCACCTGGAGTACTGCGTTCAGCTCTGGGGCCCACAGCACAAGGAGGAGATGGAAGTATCAGAACAAGTCCAGAGGAGGCCAACAAAGATGATCAATAGGCTGGAGCACTTCTCCTATGAAGCCAGACTGAGGGAGTTGGGGTTGTTCAGCCTGGAGAAGAGAAGGCTCCAGGGAGACCTTATAGCAGCCTTCCGGTACCTAAAAGGGACCTACAGGAAAGCTGGGGAGGGACTCTTTGTTGAGGATGGAGTGATGATAGGACAAGGGGGAATGGCTTTAAAATAAAAGGGGTTAGGTTTAGATTAGATTTTAAGAGGAAAGTCTTCATTCAGAGGGTGGTGAGGCACCAGCACACGTTGCACGGAGAAGCTGTGGATGCCCCATCCCTGGAGGTGTTCAAGGCCAGGCTGGATGGGGCAGAGTCTAGTGGGAGGTGTTCCTGCCCATGGCAGGTGGGATGGAACCAGGTGATCTTTAAGGTCCCTTCCAACCCAAACCTGCAATTCTATGATTCTATGAAATATATATATAAATATATTGGCTAGAAATACCAACCATTAGCATACCATCAAAGCTCTTTGTTTTTCATTGGATTACTGTAGCATTTAAGAACTAGATTCAACATCAGTAATCCATTAGAAGTTGCAAAAAATGGAAGAAAAAAATACAGTCTTTGTCTAGAGGAGAATACAATCAAAGTATGAGACAGCAGGAGGAGACAGACAGCTGTGTAGCACAAAGAAAAAATGAGAAAAAGAAAGTTTCTCTGAATACATCACAGCACATGAATACATAAGCTGAGCATTAGACATGTTCTGTTGCCATCATCAGGTAGTTTGTGTAAACATATATCAGTTATGAGGCCTCTGCAAATGCTATTTTGAAATGTTTCTGGAAATTTATTTCAATATAATGTGACCCAATAACAAAAACCTCATGTCAGCAGCAAAGTCAGGTGCTATTTTACCTGTTGAATTTAACTGGGGGAAAAAAATCAGACTACACTGCAGTAAGAAGAGGCTGGTTAGTGACTTCAAACTGCTCACTAACATACATCTTCCAGTCTGGCGGCATTTCAGTCTCACTGATTCTTCATAATTAAAAATACCATTTACTTCATAATGTATTTTTAATAAGAAACAGTGTAATTTATTTTGTGGTGCTTTTTTTTTTTTCCTTGTGCTCCTTGCAAACATATTGTGTTCTGCCAC